CTAAAGCTGGTAGCTGGTTTATTTTAAACAGTATATATATATATATATATATATATATATATATATATATATATATATATATATATATACTTTTAAAATAAACAGAACGTCTACACAAATATAGGCATCCATTAAAATAGCGTTTAAAGTGATAGATAGATAGATAGATAGATAGATAGATAGATAGATAGATAGATAGATAGATAGATAGATACGAGGCACGGTGGAGTAATGGATAGCTGCTTGGATTGAGGAATCGCAGAGCCGAGTTCGAATTCCAGTCGAATCCATTACATTAACTTACGTGCTAATACCCTTAGGAAAGGTATGAATCCTCTCCCTCCAGCTATGGGTAAAATGGCAGGACAGACTTGGTTCTATTGCCTCGGATGGCAACTGGTCTAGGAGAAAGACAACTCTGAATTCTAAACCTGCGGATGGTCGTTTGGGTACCTTGTGGCACGTAGTGCACCAGGTCTCTGTATTCGTCCTTTCAAAAAGTGTGGATGGTCTTGCACGAAACCTTCACTACTATAATCAAATCTCATGTGCTGTTGTCGGGCTGTCGGTTTCCTGGGAACTGATCTGCTTGGCCCTCATACATCGAATGTATATATAGTGTGTATTTTTGGGGAGAATGTTTTCATGAAGACTTGACTCATTAAATAATTTAGACAAGTTTTTTCTACTTATTTTTAATAGGATCTTGTAATTACGGACAAGTTTCTAAGTATCCTTATGAAAGGAAGAAAGAAAATTTACATGTTGATGTATATTCATTTTATTCCGAGTACTTTCGACATTAGCATAATGTCGTCATCAGGGTATTGTATTTTTCTAAGAAAAAATTGTTGCTTTCATCTGAAAATTAAATTTTGTCTTAGAAAAATGATGAACACAACAATTTTTTGTCTTAGAAAAAAACAAGGCCCTGATGACGACATTGTGCTAATGTTGAAAGTACTCGAAATAAAATGAATATCTATCAACATGGTAATTTTCTTTCTTTTTTTAACAAGGATACTAAGAAACTTGTCCGTAATTACAAAAGGATCATAAGTATATAAATAAGTAGAAAAAACTTCTATAAATTATCTATATATATATATATATATATATATATATATATATATATATATATATATATATATATATATTTATGGTATTTTGTAATATTAGAAAACGTATGTTTTAAAGTAAGTAATCCAGAAATTAGTCGATCTACTCCGCCATTGTCAGAGACACCAAAGTAGGAAATGAATGTAACCAAGATGACGTGAATTGCGACACATCAATCTGAAGTCGGATCTTCTTTATGCGTCGTGTCTCCTCAGGGCGTAGGCGCCACGTCTCTCCACAGCTTCCTGTTCTTTGTAGCTCTTAATTGTGTCTTTTTGTTATTAATTCTAAACCTTGTTCTGCCATCCACTTACTCAAGTATGTTATACATTGTTTTTTGCTGTTCCTCCTGCCTTCAATATGTCCTGTGGTTATCGGATTTTCCAAGCCCTCTTTCCTCATTATGTGCTTTAGAAATTTCAACTCTCTTTCTGGTGTTTCTTTTTTGTTTTCATTTTCTGTAAAACTTCCTCGTTGCTCACATGTCAGAGCCACGGATAATCACATTTCTGAATTTTATTCTTCATTGTGCCATGTGTGATACACTCTTAGGTGATCATGTATCTTTCAATACATAACTGACGAGGCAGATTTTTTCACGCAGTAGTTTGCTATTTCTTTCGGCGGTAGCCATCCAAGGCTATAGAACCCGGTCTAGCATAGCCGAGGGAGAAAAATAGTATTCATAAATTTCCCAAGAATATAAGCACGTAATGGATTCGACTGGAATTCGACCTCCGATTCCTCAATCCGAGCAGCTATCGATTACTCCACCGTGCCTGTCCATTGGAGAGATAAATAATTAATAATTTCAAATATTTGTAAAAAGGTTTTAAATCAGAAACTTCATTTTTCGGGGCATCCTTAGGCCAGGACACTTGTCAGGATCGAGAAATATTGATTTTCTATCGATTTAAATGTGGGTGCTGTTTATAATATCGATAAAGTGTGAAATAGATCTCTGGCTTAGTTGTTTAGCGTACGAAAATATACTTTGGGTGGAGTTACAATATGATTTCTTTTAAATGAAGAACAAACGGATATTTACATTTTCAAGTAAAGAACAAAAATTTACAGAAATTAATGAAACCTGTATCTGTATTATTCTTCGTTGGAGAGACAAATAATTATAATTGATACAAAAATACAAAAATAGTTAATAAAAATGAACATGCTACAACCCTTTGCCTGAATGATTGGATTTCTCTGTATCCTTGGAAACAGGAAATTATGAATTTATATGTGCGTTTAAAACTCAGTAAATTTAAAAGTAAGTTATTCCAATATTCGCTTGAAGATGAAATGGAACTAATGCGTTTAATTTAATTACAAAATTAAATTTGATGTTTTTAGCTTCCACTTTTGAAACATGGCTATTACTGTGTAGCGAAAAAAAAACATATTTTAAATCAGTTAATTTATAATATTTATGCTCTGTAAATTTACATTGAGCACTGTTTTGTAAAAATAAGAATAAAAAATATCAATTAGAACACCAGATTTTATATCTTACTGTTCTTATATATATATATATATATATATATATATATTGGTGTGGTAGGATCCACCTAATTTGCATAGTGGAGTACCGACCATATAAATATGGTTGGTACCGGAAGAGAGGGAGGAATCAAGAGATTCAACCAGAGACTCTGCCCGACTGCCACTCAGTCAACACATTCTACAGGAACGGTCTTACCAGGAATATACAAAAGACTATATGTAAATATTGTGTACACTTTCTTGTTTCAATACATTTTGTTCTAAGTACATTTTGTGTTGCATTATTATTCCATGCATTAGTCAAGTTTCAACATATATATATATATATATATATATATATATATATTATTTATATTATTATTATAAACAGCTCCCTATTGTAAGATGATTTTAAAAATTCCGATTTTGTCAGATGGAAAGCCTAAATTCCCCACTCACCAAAAATCTCCCGTATTTTTTATGGTTGGACCACTGTATTTAAGTAGTGCTTTAAAGAGTAAGCAGAACGCGAGATTGGAATATTAAAAATTTGTTCTTGAAAATTCTGAAGCAACGAACGGAAAGAGAAATAAGTGAATAGTTTATTAAAAACAGCTAAGTTCGAATAACTCTTTTAAAGTCAGGGATCTATTTTGCATTACTCACGTTTCTGACAAATGTCGCTGGCTATGGAAAGCTTAAGAATGCCAATCAACACAAATTATAACCCACACCCCGCCACAAAAAAAAGTTGCCCCTATTTTTTATAGATGGACCAGTGTATTTAAGTAGTACCTAGAAGAGTAAGTAAAACGCGAGATTCGAATATTTAAGACTTGAAAATCGTAAAACGACGGACGGAAAGAGAAGTAAGTCAATAGCAATAAATAAAGTTTCAACGAAAAAAATATACAAAAAATAAATTGAAAAAAAAAAAGGAGGCTGGGATACAAAACGTAGAAATCGCATCCAAAAATACTTAAACCGTCCATAGTCCAGCATATTGATCGGTAGATCACGTGACTAGCGACATAGTGAGAAAGTGAGAAGAAACTTGGTGAGGTCGGGGTGGTGGGCGAGCGGTCTGTAGTCGGGGGGGGTGGTAGATGTTAAGGCGGAGAACGAAACGTAAAAAGAAAGAGGCCGGTGACGATGACAGTGGCGAAAACGACGTTGTCGGTGACGTCAGCAGAAAAGAAAAAAAAAAAAAAGAAGCAAAGGCGGTCTCTGTGGACGATGATGGCGGCGAGCAACCATCACAAAGACTCTATAAATCTTCTGACTAAATTCAAATCGTCGCATGCATTTGATTTATTTATTTATTATATCTTTTTTTTTCTACCAGGAATCTAATCTCACTGATTGTGAGAGAAGTTCGTTCGTGTGCTAAAGAGAATTAGATACTGGCCACTGTTCTGAGATAGCGGACATTTTTCTTTTTTAATTTAGCATTATCATCTTTTCTTTTCTTTTTCTTTTTAACACCATTTCTTACATCTTTCCGTTTCTTTGTTTCTCTCTCTCTCTCTCTCTCTCTCTCTCTCTCTCTCTCTCTCTCTTTAAATTTGTTTCATTTCTTTCTTCTCAAACGGTTTCGTAGTTCTGGCTTTGAGTGCCGGTTTGTTTTTAGTACAGAATCTTAGAGGAGCTTTTTGCGGCTTTTTGACCGACGAAATGGTAAGAAAAGAACTATGCAAGATATGCAAGCAAAATAGAAAGAAAGAAAGAAAGAAAGAAAGAAAGAAAGAAAGAAAGAGAATAAATGAAAGAAAGGGCAAACGCATGAATGAAACAAAGAATAAATGATAGGAAAAGAAAGAAAACGAAAATGCGAGAAAGGAAAAAAGAAAGGACAAACGTAAGAACAAATAATAGAAAGAATAAATAAATGAAAGAAAGAGCAAACGCGAAAATGAAAGAAATAATAAATGACAAAAAGGAATAAAAGAACGTAAGAAGAAATAAAGAACAAATAACAGAATGAATGAATGCATGAATGAAAGAAAAATAAATGACATAAAAAAGAAGGAAAGCGCAAACGTGAGAAAGATAGAAACAACAAACGCAAGAAAAAATAAAGAAAAATAATAGAAAGAAAGAATGAATGAATGGAAGAAAGAGAAAACGCGAGATGGAAAGAAAGTATATATGAAAAAAAGAAAGAATGAAAGAAAAAACGCATGATAAAAATAAAGAAAATTGATAGAAAGAATAAATGAATGATTGAATGAAAATAAAAAAAACAGAATCTAAAAAAGAAAGAAAGAAAGAAAGAAAGAAGAGAACAAACGTGCAAAAGAAATAACAAATGCGACACAGAAGAACAAACACCCCCCCAAAAGAAAGAATAGACAAGAGAAAGAACAGACGAGAACAAGAACCAATAAATAATGGAAAAATCAATAGATGAGGAAGAGTAGAAAGTAAAATTGAAGAGGCGATATCATGAAGAAAGAAATTATTAATGAATGAAAGAAAGAAAAAACGCGAGAATGAAAGAAAGAATATATGAAAAAAAGAAAGAATGAAAGATCAAACGCAAGAAAGAATAAAGAACAATTTATCGAAAGGATGAATGAATAAATAAGAAGACAAAAACCAGAATGTAAGAAAGAAAGAAAGAAAGAAAGAAAGAAAGAAAGAAAGAAAGAAAGAAAGAAAGAAAGAAAAAGGAAAAAAAGAAAGAAAGAACAAATGTGAGAGAGAAGAACAAAGGCCAAAAAAAGAAAGAAGAAACGAAAGAAAAAAACAAATAATGGAAAAATCAATAGATGAGGAAGAATAGTAAGTGAAATTGAAGAGACGATATCATGAAAAAAAAAAAAAGATAAACAAGCGAAAAAATAAAAGAATAAGTTGTAAAGGTGAAGAAAAGGGAGACAATTATTAAATAAAGGAAAAGATATTTGAAAGACAAAGAGAAAAAGGTTGAAAGAAATGGCGATATAAAGTAAAACGTATAACTATAATGAATGAACGAAAGAAGAAATGGCTGAATGAAAATGAGAGAGAAAAGAATATTTGGCAATGAATATAGTGAAAAGGATTATAAGCTTTCGGAAAAAAAAATAAGCGCCTGTATAGAAGAGTAGCCATGAATTGGATAAAAAACTGAAAAGCAAAGACTCAACTACAATAAAGACACAGAAAAATGGAACAAAAATATTATTGAAATATGGATCTTTTCAGATTGGCGAGGATAAGATAAAATTAAGATGGAATGTTATAAGGCAGAATGAAAGGTAAGGGGATAGAAATGAAGGAAAGTGGATGAAGCAAGCAAAGAAGGAAAAGAAACAGGAAAGAAGATATTTAGAAAGAAATCAAGTAAGCAAGAAAGAGGAGGAAAGAAAAAAGACGAGAAGTAAAAATGAATAAAGAAAAAAATGGAGGAAAAGTGGAGATAAGAAGCAAAACGTCACAAAAAAGGAAGGGGGAAATGAAAGATGAGAAGAAATGAAGGCGAATATTGTAAAGGAAGGAAGGAAAAATGAATAAATGAAATGATTAAGAGAGAAGGGAGAAGGAGAAAGAAAAAATTATTAAGAAAAGAAAAGAAGGTAATAAAGAAAAGGAAATGAGAAGGAAAGAGAAGAGGGTGAAGTAAAGTAAGAAAATGAATACGTGAATGAGAGTAAGGAAAAAAGAAAAAGAGGAATGAAAGAAGGGAGGAAAGAAAAAAGAAACGTGGGAGGGGGTTAAAGAAGGAAAGAAGAGGAAATGAATGAAGTGAATAAAAAGGGTATAAAATGGGATAAGAAAAATTGTATAAAAAGAAAGGAAGGTTAAATGAATAAATGAATGAAATAAGGAAGGGAGAGAGGAGGGAAAAGAAAGAAAGAAAGAAAGAAAGAAAGAAAGAAAGAATGGAAATAAAGAAAGAAAAAAACGAAAATAAAGAAAGAAAAAACGGAAATAAATAACGAAAGAAAAATTAAATATGAAAGATGGAAAAAAAAAAGGGTGAAGAAAATAAAGACGGAGAAAGGAAAAAGTAAATAAGGCAAGAAGAGAAGGGAAAAGAAGAAAAATAATGGAAAGAAAAGAAAAAGAAAAAAAGATAAAGAAAAAAGAAATGAAATAAAGAGAGAGGAAGAGAGAGAAAGATTGTGTGTGTGTGTTTGTGAAAAGATGGAAGGATAGTTCACAAAGGCCGAAGGACAACAACGAGAAATAAATTAATCCAAACATTCAAAAAAAAAAGGGTAAAACAGAAAAAAAGACGAAAGAAATCTAGCATTAAGAAAAGAAAGAAAAGACGAAAGAAATCTGGCAAACGGACGAACTGCTTCGAGCAATAGCAACAGAAAAATCAATGTGGCAGCCATTTTTGGAGTTACTTAACTTTTTGCCTTTGAAAGGAAGTTAAAGCGCAGATTCAAGTCATCAAAATTCAGCAAAAAGTTTTTAACTCCATTTTCTGTCGCAAATGTGCTTCCGTACTTTTTTAAAAACTATTTTTGATCTTGACTTTATCGCTTCTCTTTAATTTTCTTTATAGTTTGTTTTTAATCCAAGTTGAGTTGGTGATTCAATGTAGACATTTTTCTAATAGCTTTTCATTTCTGAAAATCTTAACTTTAAATGAAATCTTTTAAAACATTCGTTCGAAATATTGTGATAAAGACAAAACAAAAAACAAAAAAGAAAGAAAAAATCGCTAAAATAAAAAAAAATCTGAAAACGGAACTTCAACGAAATTGATGAGCTGCAAAGGGACCTTGTATGGAAACCTATAAGTAAATATAATCTGTCAAAAAAAAAAAGAGAAAAATATCAGTGCTGATCAAATTGCATTTGCAGGTTCAGCTTCACAGTAAAAGCAAAGGCTCCAAAACTAAAAGTAACGACCTAGACGACGGTTAAAAGGATGATCCAATAAGGTTTATTTCTATTTATGTTTTATGTATTAGCAAAACATGGGTGATCATGGCTCTTCACAACTTCCTGCCTTTTGTTGTAAGAAACTTTTGTCACATTCTTCTTTGTCCTCGTTTTGGTATCCGTTCACAAAAAGCTCGTCAAGCAGGTTACTCGATGTTTCTCTTGCCTTCAGTATTCCTACTGTGTGTAGATTTTCCAGGCCTTCTTTCCTCATTATCCACCCTAGAAATGTCAAATGTCTCTTTCTGACTAAAAATAAAATTTCCTTCTAGTTCCTAGTTTCCTTGTCCGGTTCACACTCCTTTCCTGTCTATTGCACATGAGTAGAGGTCCATCCGTTGTTTTCTGTTTAAGATTAGGTTACAGATCCCTTCTGAAGTGTTCTCATTCTCCTTCACTCCCAGTAAACCATGCGTCTTAGTGGCAGTATTACCTTACTTGGGGGGAAATGATTTTTTAAAAAGACTTCGTTGTTGTTCACATGGTCTTCTAAGAACATGGGTGATTATGGCTCTCCATAACTTCCTGGGTTTTTTTGGGTTTTTTTTGTGGGGGGCTAATTCATTTAGTCCTTGTTCTACTACCCCTTATAAGAACTACTGAAGCAGGATACTTGATGTTGGTCTTTGCTTACGTGTTGGTTCAGAAAGAAAAATGAAATGGCGATAAATGCAGTCAAGCATGACAGCAGCAGTGGGATCAACACCAGCAGCAAAATCAACAGAAGGCAGGAAAAAAAGAATATTAGCATTAAAGTTCTACGTCATGTGTTCTCAAACAACATGGCGAATTTGGTGGATCTTTTACTTTTTCTTGTTTTGTATTTACAGAATTTTGTTTATTGATTACCAATATCCTGGCATTCTATTGAATTTGTTGTTTATTGAAGTATACTTCAGCTTATTTATTTAATAATTCGTTATGAATCAAAATAGACTACAATACAGATTTTCAAGATTTAAAATTCATCACCATTGCCCTTAAATAAGTAAAGTTCCTCTATAAAAAATAATCCATGTAAATGTACTAATATGGAAAAGAATGAAGATTTTCAATAATATATGCATATTATTTCAAATGGAATCTTGGAAAGATTTATGATGAAAAGTGTGCACTAAGTAAAAAAGGTCGAGGACCCCTGTTCGGTGTTCTATGTTCAGGATTGTCACGCAAAAGTTGATTAAAGCGTGGGCTCTTGCATTTGGTCTTAACTAGTATTTGCACTATACAAGGCCCAAGAAGGAGTTTGTTGTGTGAGAAGTAAAAATATGAGATAAAAGGCGTAATTTATGAAGATATATGGGAAAGATAATCGTTATCTCTAAACCTGAACAGACTGAAGTTGTGGTGGTTGGGAAAGCATCCTCTTGGGAGTCGGTTCCACACAGTAGCGGTTTTTCCTTTCCTGAAACCTGTATACATTTGTTGGCGAACTCTTCATATATATATATATATATATATATATATATATATATATATATATATTAATGCAAAAAAAATTAACTGATTTATATTCAGCACCTCGATTCTAGAGTTTCGTAGAAGAACTATTTGTAATTCATGATGTTTCAGCAATAAGTTTATATATATAAACGCGGTGGAGTAATGGATAGCGGCTCGGTGAGCCGAGTTCGAATTCCAATCGAGTTCATTAGATTCACTTGGTAAATGTATGAATCTGTCTCCACGCCGTCCCCGCCAGTTATGGTTAAAATAGTAGGACAGATTGATCCCTATAGCATTAGTTGGCAACCAGTCTATGAGAAGGAAAATTCTGAATTCACACCAGTCTTTGTCAGGCTATCTTTCCCATGGAACACCACTGTTGCTATGGCGGTATTCCTAAGGGATTTGTGAAAAGCAAAAAATGCATGCAGCTTATATCGATATAGTTGATCCACTGAGATGATCATGATTATCCAATGAGGAGATGATCACGGTGATCCAATGAGGAGATGATCAAGATGATCTAATGAGGAGATTCTGGCTTGTAATGCAATGAAGAAATACTGGCTTGAACTGTAATGTCCTGGGGCTTGGTTGGTTTCATTTATGAAGTGTCTTGCCCGAAGAGGAGACGATTGGTCTGTGCCAAAAAGACCGGAGAGAAAAGATCATCAAATATTTGCGCATTTTAGATTTAGTCTCCATCCTGGAGAATATTGCGCCAGAGAATAATGCAGTGATCTAACGAGTAATAAATTAGAAATCAGAATCATTGCATTTATTCAATCGATTGCCGACGGCGAGATTTACTTCCTGTGGCAAGTTTGTGTTGGCGGTAACTGAGACGTTGTTCAATCATAACACTTTATTGAATAAATACCATGCATATCTTTCCTAATTATATTCTTATTATTATTCTTCAGACTTGGGCTTAGTTGCGATCCCTTGTCATTCCTTTATTCGTTGCCGACATTTATATCCATAAGCCCCAGCCTTTTGCATTCTCTGTCTTCTTAGATAGAATTGGTTGGTCATTTTGAGGACCACGCCTCACGCTTGCAGTTCCTGATGGTCAAGCTGTTTAACTTTGAGGTTGCCTCAGTTTTCTGCCATTCTTGCCACGTAATCTGCTAACTTCCATTTGAATGTGTGAATTTAATTGAACAATATTACAGGTGCCTGACTGCTCTTGTATTTCTTCTCGTATCGTCAAATGATGTATATTTTTTTTTGTAAGCTCATTGCGTTGTTTTTAATTTGCAGTTACCATAACAATAAGCCCGTTGGTCTCCTTTGCAGTTGGTCGGAATCCAAGTCTCTAAATTATGCTTTTTTTTTTTGCTTTTTGTTTTTTTTTGTTTTTGGCTTTCTTTTTTTTGTTTTTTTTTTTTTTTTTTTAACTAAAAGTTTTTAAAACCACTAAGACACAATGAAAGAATAAGAAAAAGAAACATTATTAAGGAGCGAGAACAGTAAAAGAGGAATCAAACAGTAGATAAAGATTGACATGGCATTTAACATTTTTGAAGATCAAAGTTGGCTAAAAACCAAGAAGCTGGAAAAAGAGTTCCACAGGTGAGAAGGAGTTGGAGATTGTTCTCATTGCGCTCTCTATGTCTAATATCACGATTGTTCATTTTAGTACTGCTAAGTTATTGTTTGCCAAAGAGAAACTCCCTTTCTCAGGGATTAAACTCACAATTACATTACTGAAATTAATGATCCAACGAACAATTGTCCTGGATTGGTGAGATCCATCCTATGTCAGTAGTTCAATAAACCCAGTAAAAACAAAGGTGAACTGAGCATTACAGAAATAATATAAGACGATAAACTGCCAGACATGCGCAGCATGAATAATTTACCGCATAAATTTCGTTTGGAAATTCCATTTTCCCGAATAGATCACCTAAAAAAGGTTACAACGACTGAAAATTTATGATAATAACAACAAAAATTAGGACATTAGTCTGGATGAAAATAATAGTATTTTTAAGAAATCAATTATATCTCCCAGAAAAAAAATAAGCAAACAGAACATTGTCAATCGTGATTTTTCTTCGGTGGAGGAATATGCATGAAACGACGGTTCATGTATATGAAAGGAACAATTAAAAAGGTCTTACATTTACATCCCTATGGTCTCTTTTCGGATGCTTTTTCAAAGGCACCGGACATAAGGCCTTGCCTGTGGAGACCTATACACCAACATCTTCACAACTTTTGGCCATTTCTTCAGAGAATTTCGAACTGAACCCTTGTTTTATTTTATTTTATTTTTTTTTTTTGTCTTTTTATTTTGTTTTGTTTTTTTATCATTTCACCCCAAGCAAGTTTGTTCGTTTGGAAATTCCATGAAGGTTTCCCGAATCGACAGATCTGGGATGAACAATTATGATTATTTCTATTATTTGCAACACCAACATTTTGACAGCTTGTTGGCCATCACAGGTTCTTCAAAGAATTTCAAACTGAGCCCTTTATTTTATTTTATTTTTTTATCATTTCACCCAAAGGAAAGTCAGTAAAGCGACTAAGAGAGAAGAGATTACAGAGTGTGAAAGAATAAGGAAAAGAGAATCATTTAACCACAATTTCTGATGTTGCCAGGTCCACCCCTTCCGGGGTGGCAGCACCTGTTAGGATCCCATTATGGACAAATAGTTAACTATTGCCAGCAGTAGTTTTTGAAAAAAATCAGATTTGGAAAAACAGATTTTTTCCCAAAAAAAAATATTAAATAAAAAATTTGGTCGAAAATAACCTATTGAGGTTGATTTGCATTAAAATAAAAAACCAAAAACCAGACCAAAGTTGGCTGGAAAGCAAGAAGCCGGAAAAGAGTTCCACAGGTGAGAAGT